TATGTAGATGAGAGCAATTCCGGAAAAATCTGTGTAAGGTATTTGTCCTGAACTCTGAGAGCAGGCAACAGAAAAGGAAAATAGAAAGGAAATCATGCAGCTACAGTGATAATGCACCTCAGGGATTGGTTTTGTGCTGTATTGGTGCTGAGCCGCAGCCCACGGGGACTTTCTCTGCTTTACCCTGAGCCTAATAACTGGAGAATGTGCTCCCAGTCCAGCTGCAGTCTGTAAGCAGCCAGCTCAGGGATACACCTGCCTGTCCCCTGTCCTCAGCCTCCTCTTCCTTGGCAATAGGGCACTCTCTGCTGATCCTACACAGATGTCTTCCACAACACAGACAGGAAGACAGGCAACAAATGTCTGCATCTAGCTTTAATGTGTGTGAATTTGGCAGTCTGGACTATTCGTGCATGGGACAAATATTTGTTTTGAATCTAAGCTCGCCCCTAAACAGACTGTGCTGAGAGCTGAGGCGGCAGGCTGTATTTAAGAAAATGTAGTCCTACTGGGAGAGTGTCTGCATCATCAGATGTTCTGGTATTGGGAGCTGATGCACCTCTTCGCTCCCTGATATCGCTCAAAACCCGCCTGGGTACCATCCTGCACAAGGTGCTTTAGGTGATCCTTCTTGGCTGGGGGTTGGACTGGGTGATCTTCAGAGGTCCCTGCCAACCTCGGCTGTTCTGGGATTCTCTGACATATTGAGGACAGCATTTAAAGAAATCTTCCACAAGCCCTATTAGTTGCTGCAGAGAAGATAAACACACCACATAGTATGTGGAATACTGCAGAACAGGTGCTTGAAGATTTTATTCTATGGTCAGAGCTAACAAATAATATTTTCTCTATTAAACAGCAACTATAAAAGTGGTCAGCTACAAATGAATACCTGTGGCGTTAACCTCAAAGTGCTTTGCCAAGGCCAGTGAGCTTGTTTTATCTGAGTTGTGATGATTCCAGAAATTAGAAAGGTTTCCTTGCTGTCCCAAGGGCTGTGCAGTCTTGCTGCCTGTTATGTGGCAGCAGAGCCAGGTGCAGGTCCCAAACCTACTCAGCTCACATCCCTGCTGCAGTACACAGAGAGGCAGCCTTCATGCCCAGCTCCTGTGCGGGGGGCACATCCCGTGAGTGGGTTTTGGCAGGGGAGGCTGCGGTGCTTTCCAGCTGCAACATCCTATGCAGCAGTGTGGACGTACCTTGCTGATACTGCACCAGCTGCCCTGCCTATAGCAAAAAGTGAAAGTGAAAATGGAGTTGCCTTTAAAAGGAGGGAAAAGCCGTCAGTCTGCCTTATCTCAGGGACCCACACTCCTGGAATCAGAGCTCGATGTCCTGGGCGAGGGAGAAGCTGCTCAGGAGCCACAGCTTCCAGCTCTGGGGCTTGCTGCAGAGGAAGAGGCACTTGAAGGCTTCCTTGGACACAAATCACTTTTGAGGTACTTGTACTGTGCTTTTCTTTAGGAGGTCCTGTCTATAGCCGGTCTTTTTTCTTTCAAATACTTAGTGGTTCCTCTTTGTAAGGAGACGTTTAGAAAGAGCCACTAAAAGCGTGACTGTGGTGGAAGGGAAACCTTCAGTGTCTTCTCTGTAGGGGAAAACGTGCCTTACTCTGTCAGTGACCGTGGCAGACAAATAGCACCACACTTTCTTCCCTGCCTGCCAACCTCTGAGCAGCTCTGCACTGCTGTCCCATTGTTGATGCAAGTGCAAAAACATAACAGCTTCATTAATTAGTGCAATTTTATGTAGGTGGGAGTGACTGCAGAAATCACAGAATAAATCTATTACAGTACTTTATCTCCTGTTACCCCCGAATAATTTTTCTGTCATCCAGTTAACCACTGTTTTTTTTCCTCTTCATTGTTTTTTTCCTTAACTTTTTTGCAAGTTTTTCTAACATCCCCTTACCGAAATTGTCATCCTGCTAAACTTGCACGTAAAGGATAATTTGCCAGGAGGGTGCAGTAGAAATCTTTGCAGCTCTCTCCTTCTCTGTTGAGAAGCTATCACCCAACCTGCTGCTGATGGTGCTGTGTTTTCCTGGGGCTGCTGCTGCACCCCAAATGGACCTGTGGGGATCCAGACCCCGATGGCTCTGGGTTCAGAACTAAACATAACAGAAAACCAAAACAGAAAGGGTCAAGCAGTAAGGATATTGGTTTCAAAATAAAAGAAACGAAACTAGGGGAACAGTTAATTCTACTTGCCTTAATGTGCTGCAAACCGCAAAATCTCAGCAATGTTTTCCACTGGCTGTGATGGAAGAAATTTTTAATTTTGGTTTCTGAAGAAGTTTTCTCAGCTCAAGGACCGAGTCCTCCTGATTGCTTGCTGGAACTACTGGTAACAAACTGCACTTGCAGGCTTGCTCTGGAAATAGCTTGTTTGCCTCTTTCTCTGGTTTTGTTTATGTGTTTTCTTTATTGCAAAGGCTTGTTGAGAGTGGCAGTCAGGAGATCAGTAAGGTGAAATGGGTACTGTGAGCAATACTCATGTTATCTCTTATGTAAAGTCCACTCCTTTTCCCGGAAAGCACAGAGTGTAAAAAAATCTGTAGTCACTTGCGAAGTTCTTGGATTGTTGTTGTTGCTTCCTTCTGACCATTTTCTTCAAACTGAAATTTCAATCCAGGCTGCTTAGGGTAACGCATAAAACTTTTCTGACAATATACTGTGTTATTCCACCAAGACAGTCCTGCCTGACTGTGAGAGCCATATGCTAAAGTGCTCAGAAAGCTGCACAGGTGTGTGGCTGTGTGGAGGAGCGAGGAGGGACAGGGAAATGCCGTGTTTGCAGCTGGGGGAGAAAGGGGGCTCCCATGGGCTGGTGACTGTGTGTCAGGATCAATTGGAGGGGGAAGTGCTCCAGAAGCCTGGGGCAGCAGCTCTGCTCCCCCCAGCCCTACAGGGGGCTACGGGGACGCCCTGCAGCCCTGTGCTCATCACCCTGGTGTCCCTGCAGAAGGAGCAGCCCCACCTGAGCCCAGATGGAGGGGGAGGACAGGGAGCGTGAGGGCGCACGCCAAGGAAGCGGTGAGCTGGTTTGGCTTGTGCTGGGACAGGAAAACACATGTGGCTCACCAGGACATTGCGTCTCAGCTTTATCTTTGAAAGAGGACCTTTCCTTTGGGGGAAGTGATGCTGTTGCTTCATTGACTCTCTTTCTTGGCTTGATGAACACTGGAGTTGTCTATTGCATCTCTGGGAGAAGGAAAAGCAGGAGGGTTTCAGGTGGGGATTTGTTCTCCAGTAGCTCCTTTCAAAAATAAAGCCAGAGCACCTCATTAGGGCTCTCCACACAGCTGATGCTTCACTCATCTGCTGCTGCTGGCTGGTCTGCATTTAGGGTCTGGTGTTCCCTTGTTCCAGCTCTGCAGGCAGCTTGAGCAGCTCTGAACCTGGGAATTCATATTGGCCCCAAAAGCAAAGTAAGCTGGGGTAAAACCTTGATGAAAAATGTTTTCCATCCAAAGCAAGTGTTCTGTTTTAGATCTGAGTGTTTTGTTTTTAGCGATAATTTAACATAAATCGTAGGAGGTGGCCAAGAGGACTCTTGGAAACCTGCCAAAAGAGGATCATTAAGACAGGGCAGTGTTAGGAGGCAGGGGTTTGCAGATAGGGTTATGGGTTTTAGACATAAAGAAAAGAGAAGGAGGAGAAGGCAGGAATGTTTCCAGAGGAGGAGGAGCAAGGATGAGGCAAGGAGACTGCAGAGGGAAGGAGAAAACAGAACATAGAGATGGGAGGCTGAAAACTGGACCAGAAGTCCTGTGGTGTCCCTCACCTCGGGGCAGTAACCACCAGGTGTGCTGCAGCTGGTCCGGGGACGCTGCGTTGGGCCAGGCTTCAAGGACGACAAGGTTGGTGACAGTCCCTGGGACCCGAGGGGACAGGGACAGCCGACTGATGCTTTGCAGAGCAGGAAACAAGCTTTAAGTGAGCATTGTGTGGAAGGGCACTGAATGATGTGGGTTTTTTTGGGGAAAAAAGAAGATCAGAACTAGTTGCAGATGTATGGATAGATAAAGAGAGAAGACCCTGTGCTCACGCGATGCTCTGAATGGTGCTGATAGCTGCTGGGACCCGGAGAAATTCTTGCAAGATCGTGTGAGAACAGCAGCAGCACCCACAGAGCGGAGGAACTGGTCCCTCGTGTGGTGTGAAGTGGAAGCGGACGGGTGGCAGCTCCGGGACCTCCATGCCATGCCCAGCATCAACTGGGCTCTGCGAGGGCATCGAGAGCTCGGGGAGCTGCATGGCGGGGCCCGGATTTTATTCCGTGGGAAATTTTGCAGCCGGTCTCCAAGATCAGCTGCGTCCCTCCTGTGCCAGCTGGAAGGGGCTTGTTTTGGGGATGGGGTTTCTCCTGTCTTGTCTACTCCTGGGGACTGGGGATTGTGATCATTAACTTCTGCTGAGGATTTTGTGCATAAATTGGAAACTCACTCAAGGTACTTCTCGGGCAGTGACATATCAAGAAAATTATTTTACTGAAAACTTCTAAAAAAAAAAGCTCCAAAGGGCAAAGTGTTTGTTGGAGCTTGCCTGGTGAGAAAAGTTAGGTTACTTCTCTGGGAGTTTTTCTCCTTTGGAAATTAAAAGTCATGTTTTACTAAAACATACTTTACAAATTTGTTATTGTTTAATTGAAATGATCTAGGATGTTTTTCTAACTAAATCCAAGATATTAGTGGGAAAGAAATACTAAGGGTTGTTTGGTTTCATTTTTAATTTGAACAGATATTTCCCATCAGCTTTTCCAAATTAAAATGCCCTTTAACAGTAAATATTTCATATCGGGTTAAACAAAACATTCCTTTGGCACAGAACGCCAGCAAGTGATTTGTTGTATGTATTGCTGAGGGACGTGCATAGGGCCACTGAATTCCAGTTTTCTTGGCTTGAATCTTCACAGCACTTGCCCTGGATGCAGTTTTCTTTTAGACTACAGAAACATAACAGAAAGGAAATAATGGATGCTATTTAATGTCCAAACAGGGAGATGAGTTCGGGAGGAGCCCGGTGAGCCTGCCTTGGGACTGTGGAGCATCCAACAGCACCGGAGCTGTGCTCCCAGGTGGACAGATGGGCTCTGCCTGCTTCCCGTGGCTGAGCTTGCTGCTTCTCAGTGGCCTTGCTCTGCGGCCAGGTGAGTCTCCTGCTGGAGCTCCTTGCTTTTCACTGCGCTTCTGTAGCTAAAAACTTTTCAGCTGTTAATAGAAAGCTCAGTTGTGTCCAGTTGAAGCTAAGAGCACAGAACAACTCAGGTGAGAAAAGGAATTAAGAAGGGGAAGGTGATTCATTTCTCTAACACAACTGCCTGCCTTGGCAGGAATGACTTTTCCTTTGGTTCTGCCTGAAGCCAGGTGGGGTGAGTCCTTTCTTGAAGTACTGGCCCTTTACCAGGAGAGTCTGAAAGAGCAAAACCCCTCTGTCAGCTGTCAGAGCCCAGCCCTGGCATGCTCCAACACCGGGCTGAGTCAGTGGTGCTGCATCTAGCTGCAGGCTGACAGCTCGGCTGGCAGCATGGCCCTGGGATCTCGTATGTGCTGGAGAGACACCTGGTGGGATTGTGCCAAGGAGTTTTGGGAGGAGAGAAGACAAGGAGGGATGACTCGTCTGAATGTGCCTGGGCAGGGGGTGCCTTAGCTCAGGAGGGGAGATGTCTCTCAGCTCACTTCCCAAGCCGCCAGCTTCCTAGGTCAAACCCCCATGGCAGCAGTGAGGGAGCTGTATCATATTTCTACTCCAAAAACTATTCCGGGGACTGAACCCAGTCCCTTACAAAACTTCCCCATTGGCAGACAATGCCTCCTAAGCCACAACTGGGTTTGTCCACCAGAACTCATCTCTCCAGAAATCTGGGGAGGAAACCGTTGATTAACAGTTTTCTTTGTTTTCTCCTGTAGGTATTGCTGCGCCAACAGGTGACCCTGCTGAAGGGACAAATGGCTTTTCCTCTAACAATACACGTGTGACAGTTTATCGTTGTAAAGATTGTGACAGCAAAATTTGCCAATTATCCAATTATGAGATCTTTGATAAAATTGGAGAAACTAAAAATGGGACATTATCAAATGACATAATTCAGTTGGTGACCACTGCAACTCACATCATTATGTGCTTTCAGCAAGAAATTAAGTATCTTAATGAAGTTTATGCCATCGTCTGGCAGGAAGACTGGGGAATAGGAGAATCCTGTGGCAACCTGGGACCTGGAGGTAAACTCTCCTGGGAGTCTAGCTGTGAATATATAGATAATACTTTTCTGGTCGTGAAACTGAACTGTAATATATTTGGGCAGACAGTGAGATTAATGAGAAAACTAACTTATCAAAACGAGTGTTGTTTTGTTGTTGTTTGTTTTTTTTTTTTTTTTAAATTGTGAAACATGTTAACCTGATTTATGAAGATACCATTTATTTTCCAATGGCAGTTCTAATGATCAAGTTCTGTGTTGGTTTGCAATGTATGAATCCATCTACTTCAGTCAGTACACACTGAAATCCAGGTCTAGCCTAATGAGCCATTCTGTGTTGTTCTTCTGTACAATTCAGTAAATAATCCTGCCAGTTTTCTCACAAAACTGTCATGATGAGAAATGAAAATGCCAGTCACTACGTGTAGGACATGGCTGCAAGAGCGCAAAGTGTACAAAGCAAGTGATGTATAATGCAATTGCTCATGACCTGCTGAATGATGCCAAACCCATCCCTGAACAACGGTGTCTCCTCACCCCCTTTGTCCCCCCCCAAATTTCATATACTTAATTACATATGAAAACTTTTTCCTATCTTCATATTTGAAGACTTTGACTATTGGTTCAAAGCAGGGTTCATCAGCTTTAGTGAGAAGAAAATCTGAACACCTATTGAACTAAGGATGATTGTAGCAACCTCAGCATTGTATGGCACACAAGGAATCTAAGTTGTTGACCTATAAGCATTGGTTAAAGATTTTAAAATGATCCATATTTATATTCAATGCTGCTTTTATCTTTCACCTTCTGTAGAAAATGAGGTGCATCACATCACAGAAGAGGAGAAAATCTGCTGTGCAGTAGAGGCAGAAGAAATCCAACCACACGTGGCTAACCTGAACTGCTACGTTGAAAATAAGAAAAGCTCAATATACCAGACCCCCGATAATATAACTCCAGGTTAGTCTCTTCATGTGTTTGTCTGCCTTTAGCTTTGAGACAGTTTTGCTCAGACAGCTTGCTGTGATAGTTTTACAGGTGTTTTGGGAGGAATGTTCTGTACGTTCTTATCTTGGACCCACATGTGCTGTAGCATCCAAACTCAGGGGCTTTCCCCCAGCCTATGCAGGTGCCTGGCCCTAGGCATATTGATCCATATATACCAGTCCTGGATGTAGGCATAAGTGGCTGCAGCTGTAGTTATCCAGCAATAGATACAGGGATGCTGAGGGGGAAGTTGGTATGTGGTGGGCGTGCAACAAGATTCCAGAATTCCACTTACTAGTGAACAGTAAATGGGACATTACCTCCGGGCTAAGAGAACACTTGTCATGTGCGCACTTATTGAAGTATTCAAATAACTGCTTATGAGGAAGGCTCATTTCCTGTCATACCTGGTTTGATCATTTGGATCCTGTGTTTTCTTCTGCTCTGCAGATAATCCAACAGATCCAGACAGCAGCAAGACAATTGGCATCACTGCCACTTTCCTGATTCTTGGGGTTTGTGCAGCAGCACTGGCACTGTATTGTGTTCAAAGAACCCGAAGTGGTCAAGGTACAGTCTGACAAAGCATTATGTTTCCCATGGGTAATGTGCCTCTACAAGCAGCCCTGGGAGTGCAAAAGGAAGTGCACAGCGTTTCCTTTCTGTATCTTGTTTCCATAAAATTGTTTAGGAAGTTGCTAAGTGATATTCATTGTGAAGGGGGGAGGCTGGGCTAGCACATGGCCTGGACTCCACCTCCGCATTTGGTGCTGTGACATAGTCCATGGCCAGCAGGCTTTAGTACGAAAAATAAGCTCAAAATAAACTTCCTCACCACCACACTAATGCAGCCAAGTGATTGCACTTGAGAGGCAGTTTTAACTTAGAGAAGAATATATTTTAAATGTTTTTATTGGTGGTGTGGTTTTTTGATTGTTTGTTTGTTTTTTGCAAAATAATATGCACAGAAAGGGGTGGGATGGGCTGTATGGACTGAATAGGGAGCATAGTGCAGTGTTCTTAAGTGCAGTAGTGTTAAAGCAGCTTTTCAGAAATTGTTGTGCTAGAGCAGAGTGCAGAACTTGGGGTGCAGCTGTGCTGTCATGTGGCAAACAAAGCATTATCCCTGCCGAGAGGTACCCCTCTCAGGTTATTTATACATCACACTTGGTGCAGAGTTGTGGAGAAACACAAGGCCTGTGGATCTGTTTTAGACAGATAGCAGTTGCTCAGGCATTCTGGGTAAGTGTAAGTAGGGAAAAACAACTGCAGGTCTATTAGTTTTAAACCTTCTAAGTAAATCTTTGCTAATGCTGGTACTTTCTTGCTCTTGTTTTCCTAGGACGTGTCGTAGTGCTCTATCAGATTTTTAAAGGTAAGCAATGACTTTTTTTTTTTTTTTGGGGGGGGGGGGGGGCGGGTAATTATTAAAAATTGTAATACCATTTTATAGATTTAGGTCTGTAGATTTAGATCCCATATAGATTTTATAGATTTATGGGATTTTTAATCCCATAGATTTTAATCCAATACTTTCAGCCTGCAGCTGCCTCCCCTACATCCCTGGCTCCAAGGTTTATGGGACCTGAAGCTGTATTGCCAGAAGCTGAGATGTCTCCTCTCAGCTACTGAACTACCTCATCCTTCTTTAGAACCAAATGCTCCTGTTGGCTTTTCCCTGGTAGTTGGTTGTTTCCTTCTAAGAGTCTAGGAATTACATTTCCAGATCAATTTGTTTAAGGTTAACTTGCTTAGAAGTTAGTTACAGCCTAAGCTTCTTTTCTTTTACTCCCTTTCTAGTGAATGGAGAGAGACAGCTGTCTTCAGAAGGTGATTCATCCCACTTAAAATGAGTTTTAAGATGTGACATGACTGTGAAGATGCCTGTTGCTCTCTGTTAACTATAAAGGAAGCCAATGGTACCAAGCAGAGACTGTTGAACATCTACAGTTAGATAAAGCACAAGGCTACCTGGGAAAAACAAGAGCTATGCAAGCGCTTGTACAACTCACTAAAGACAACGTGATGGTAGTGTCACGGTGGTTATGCTGTTAAGACATATTGGTGTGATAGGCAAAAAACATTCTGCTGGTGGCTCTCCTGACGTCCTGCCCTGTGGTGTAACACTCGGTGATGTTTCAGAGCTGTCCCAGACCCCCCTGAGGCACAGGCTGATGGCTGCAGCAACCAGGGCATGGTTTCAGCAGAGAGGCTGTGAACTCGCTGGGTGAAGAAGCTGCAAACTTTCCCCTTTCAGAGCAACAGGCAGTCCGGAAGCAGATGGGGCAGGGCAGCTTCTCTGAGGACTTCACATCTCCAAACCTATCAGGCAATCTGATTTTATTTCACAATGAGATCGATCTGTGCCTTTGCCTCACAGATGTTTTTCCTTCAATTCTGCAGGTGCTATAAAACCCAATCAGGCTTGTGAAAGTGGAAGGTCACAGCCATTTGAAGCATCATCTACAAATGAGACAAACCAGGCCCTTATGCCAGCAGCATCCTCAAACAAAGTCTAGCCATCACCTGAAGAAACACGTTTATTTTATACCTCACAATAGTTCTCACAAACGTACTTTCACAATTCCCATGCATTCACTGAGGACTGCAATTGCCCTAGTTATCCAACTCCAGACTTTTGCAAGCAATAAGAAAAGCTTCCAGGGGCTCTTGTCCTCTCCCGGTACTTGTCTGAGAAGCCCCAGCATCACAAGATGCATGGCTTGTTTGGCAGCACAGACTTATACCAACTGAATCCTCCTTTTTTTTTTTATGGTTGAAACTATCGGTTCTCCTAAAATTCTTTGGAGAATTGCATCTTTGCTCAGGCAGGCCGTGTTGAACCTTAATGGAGATGTTCTCTGCATATCTTCCATGTCGTAACACAGTAGCGTGGCCATAGTTTTTCATCTGTTAAGTCCCAGGCTAGTTCTAGGTTTCCCTGAGAAGGAGTTTTGTAGAGCCATGTGTAGGAAGGGACCTTAAAGACCACCCACTAGCTCAGGCTGTCCAGAGCCTCATCCAGCCCGTACAGGTGACTGGTTTGTTTTTAGAGTGGTTTACCCTTCTGAGCCAAAAGTCTGGTTTTGCAGCCACCTGCAGGTTGAAGGCTACTCTGCAGGCTCTGTCCTGTGCAGCAGAGACAGAAAGGCGTGCACTTCAGGGGTGCACAAACGGTAGTTCACAGGTAGCATGTCATCTTCAAGTGATTTACTGCTCATGCTTGATTTGAGTAAATCCTCAAAATTTGCATTATACCCAAACAAATATCAGGCTTTTGAGCAAAGAGCACCAGCATCCAAATTGCAAAAGCACATCCCTGAAGTGGAATGGATGCTTGTTGAATTATTTTTTTTGCATAGTTTAACCAATCATAAACCTATAAATTGGTAGTTTCATCAGGAAATCTCAAAGGATGTAGGATGTAACATGATTCTATACAGATAAAAAAAAAATAGCAAAAAAAAAAAAATAATACAAAAAGGTATATTAAAAAGTTATGGACATTTTCTTTTTCCCTTGACCTCAAAACTTTGGAAGATCCTTCAAATGCAAGTAGGAAATTTCTGTGGTGTTTTGAAACAGTATGATTAGTTCAATGTATGTTTTTCCAGGGCAGCTATCATGGGTGTTGCTTTTGGTTTTGTTTTTCTGCTGTAAGTCATTTCTGCGAGAGCCTCTCAGGAAGTGCCAAGCATTCCCATTGATGCATGGAGCTGCGTGCTGGGCTTCAGGAGATTCCAGTGATGCATACCTGATTTTCCTGGACCTAGAAAAAGACTGTCTTAAAATTAAAGGCTGTTGCAGTTCTCTGGAGTGGTCTCTTAATGGGGAAAAACAAATGTGTGTGTGCATGTTAGGGCGGTCAAACTGATGACTGACACTGCTCTTTTTTTGTGTACCCTCAGATTTTGAGTTTTTTTGAAACAGAGATAACATGCTATTTGACAATTTATGTTGTAGTAATTCAAGAGATTAAAATTTGAGAGTGTTCAAATTTAATTTCTAATCTTTAACACCAGTTGGGGCCAGAGAGCTAGCCAAGCCTTGGGAATAGAGGTTACCTGCCCAGTGACAGTTGCTCAGCTAAATCTGTCACAAGATGCAATTCACAAACTGACTTTGGGGTGCACACACTTTCCTTCCCATCTTTTCTGCCTTCCTACTGCTGATTTTGCAGACAGTGATATTCAGAGGTGTCAGTCCCAGCTGTTCTGATTTGTGCCTCCTGAGCTGCATTTTGCCTGTAATGCCAATCATCCGATGTCTTGGGAAAAGGGCTTTAATGATCCTCTTGGCTCTCAGCAAGTGACTGATGTTGCTTTATGTGCCTGATGTTGCTTTATGTGCCTTTTTACAAATAAATATATCCACACAAATAGTTCTGAAATAAAAATCAACTGAAAATATCAGGTAGCCTGACTCAACAGATGGCATAATTTGATAGTTGCAGTTTTATTTTGATGTGCTTTGTTTTGTGTTCTTGTAGTCACCACAATGCCATGCCAACTTGAACACTGGCTATTCACTGGTAACTCTGCATCGATCATTTTGTTCTTTGGCTTCTTCATGTCCTTTACAAAACATCACCATCATGTGAGTCCCATACTCATTACCCAGCATTATTGGGATGATCCACTTCTTGAGTATTGCAAAATCAAAGCCCAGGAGCAGGAAATCCTTCCTGCCATCTGCTTTTGTATCTAGCAGTGAGTCTTCATAGGGCTAATTGAAAGCCCATTTCACAACCCACCTGAACTCGGTTTTCTTTACAAGGACTGATGACCCTTATCAGCTGTCAGGCAATCATTCCTTCAAGAAAAGCTGTTTGTTGTATCAGGGAGAGAGTAGGGTGTGAGCTATGACTGAGCTTCCCTTTTGCTGGTGGCTTGCAGCTACAGAACATCTCTAAGCGTGAAGCCACGGGAGAGGTACACACTGTACTGCTGCTCTGAAAACACTCACCATCCCATTGCTGGGAGAACACAGGCTCATCATTGGCAAAATACAGGTGAAGCCTGCAAGTTTGTGAGCAGGCTTTGTATATTAATTTAAGGTTTAGCTGAAGTAGCAGTGTATCTTTCTCCCACTTGCCCCTTACAAAGCCAATGCTTCCAATTGCAGCCTGCAGCAGGGCTGGCTGCTGAGCCTGGGGGCATTGACAGTCTGTATCGACTGCAGCTGGTGCTGATGTTTCCACTAACAGCCCCCACACCTGGGGCTTGTTCTGTGGTAGTAAAGTGTGGGCGTTGCCAGTGTGAAGTCAACAACAGAATACACCTCTCTCTAAATCTCTCGCTCCCCTCTCTGTCACAGTCTCTGTGACAGAAGAAGCAAGTTGCTGGGGAGGGGGAGAGAACTTCAGTTAGAAAGCAGCTGACATAGCCAGAAGATAACAGCCAGGTTTTGGCACACAATCCTTTCTTCAGTTCTTCAGCTCATCAGTTGGGCTATTAAGTGGGGATTGGGAGGAGACCTCATCATGGTCTGCATCTTCTTCATGAGGGGGAATGGAAGGGCAGGCGCCAATCTCTTCTCTCTGGTGACCAGTGAGAGGACCCGAGGGAACGGAGTCAAGCTGTGACAGGGTAGGTTCAGGTTGGATATCAGGAAAACGTTCTTGTACTTGCCAACGCGATCAGCTCCAAGGCAGACCTGTTCTTCAGCAGAGTCGGGAATCGAGGTAGGCAGGGCTTTTTTTCTGGCATGGAGGCTACTCGAGGCAGCTGAGGGAGCTGCCAGAGCTCAGCAGCCCTGCGAGGGAGGCTGACCAGGGGTGGGTAGAGCCAGCAGCGTCCCCTGTCTGGCCGTACAAATGCAGCCCCTAGGGAGCGCGAGTGACCAGGACAGGCAAACAGGGCGGGGTGTGGCAGTTTGCACAGCAGTGAGCAAAGGGAGGGCAGGGCGCCCTCACTGCTCTTTTCCAATGGTGGTTGTAACCTGCTTGTGAAGAGACCAACCATGGTATCCACCTGGCAGAAAGCCATGGCCTGATGTGAATAGAGATAGGAGGACACGTGGGATGGGACAACCTGGCTTTACATACAGACTGGGCAATGAGATGCTGGAGAGCAGCCCCGCAGAGAGGGATCTGGGGGTTGTGGTTGACAGCAAGTTGAATATGAGCCAGCGGTGTGCCCTGGCAGCCAGGAAGGCCAACCGTATCCTGGGTTGCATTGGGATTGACATTGCAAGTTGGTCAAGGGAAGTGATTGCCCGCTCTACTCTGCGCTGGTGCGGCCTCACCTCGAGTACTGTGTGCAGTTCTGGGCACCACAGTACAAGAAGGACATTAAACTGTTGGAGAGTGTCCGGAGAAGGGCTATGAAAATAGTGAAGGACCTAGAGGGGAAGACGTATGAGGAGCGGTTGAGGTCACTTGGCCCGTTCATCCTGGAAAAGAGGGGGCTGAGGGGAGAGCTCATCATGGCTTACAGCTTCCTCACGAGGGGGAGTGGAGGGGAAGGCGCCGATCTGTTCTCCTTAGTGGCAAATGATAGGACCCACGGAACGGTGTCAAGCTGCGATGGGAGGTTCAGGATGAATATCAGGATAACAGGCTGGAGAGTTGGGCAGAGAGGAACCTCATGAGGTTCAACAAGGGCAAGTGCAGGGTCCTGCACCTAGGGAGGAAAAACCCCAGGCACCAGTCAGGTGTGGGGCTGACCTGCTGAGGGCAGGTTCTGCAGAGAGAACAGAGAGCAGTCCTATGGAGAGGGACCTATGTGTCATAGGGGACAACAAATTAATCATGAGCCAGCAGTGTTCCTTTGTGGCCAAGAAGACCAATGGGATCCTAGCCTGTATCAAGAGGAGTGTGGACAGCAGGTAAAGAGAGGTGATCCTCCCGCTCTACTCAGCTCTGGTGAGGCCACACCTGGAATTTTGTTTGCAGTTCTGGGCTCCCCAGTACAAGAGAGACATAGAACTTCTAGAGAGGGTCCAGCGTAGAGCCATGAAGATGATTAAGGGATTGGAGCATCTGTCTTATGAAGAAAGATTAAGTGAGCTGGGCACGTTTAACCTAGAGAAGAGGAGCTTGAGAAGCAGTTGACTAAGTTAGTTCTGGAAACTCGTCTCACCTCAATGAAGTGCTTACCCTTGGCACTTCTCTAAATTCAAACAGTCAAGAAAAGATGTGGGAGTCTCACCATATGAAATATTAGCTGGATCGTTGAAATATTACCTGGGCAAAGGGAATGAACTACCTCGATTCAAGACAAAAGATGCTTTTCTTAAAAAACTATATACTTGGACTGTCATCCTCTTTGTCATCTCTCAGGACCCATGGATTGTTAGCTCAGACCCCACCCTTGGAAGTCCCGATCCATCCATTCCAAGCAGGAGATTGGGTTCTGATGCGAACATGGAGGGAATCGAAGCTACAACCTGGGTGGGACTGACCATTCCAAGTACTCCTGACTCCTGAGATGACAGTAAGAACAGCTGAGAAATGGTGGACTCATTACACTAATTACACCTGGGTGAGGCATAAGGTGACCCCGAGATCTGAGAGAATATAGGAGAACCTTTAAAAATAAAAATTAGGAGGAGGTGCGAATCATAGTTGTAAACTAACCTTTAATTTCTTCTTAAGAAAAAATAATGAATACCATATGTAATTGGGGAGAATACTTGGATTACATCGAATTACACAGGGTATTCTGGTTTTTATATTAGTATGCATATCATTCTTCATACTGATGGAAATTCAGGGGGCAATAATACTGACCTTGGGTGTGGAAATCTTACCTGTGAGGTAGACAATTATCTATACTGTACTGAATATGGTAATCGTGGGAGTGCTAATATATATAATGCACACCAAACACAGCACAGGAATCATTCAGTAACCGGATGGCCAGTCCCGAATAGCAAAGGTTGGTATTAGCTATGTGATAATAGGGCCAGGAATGTGTTACCCCTAAGATGGAAGGGAGCTTGCACCCTGGGGGCAATAATTCTGAACATAACCATTACTGAGTTTATGCAAAACCAAAACCTGTCTTTATATCAACCCTTGAGCCCTTTCCATTATATGCTCTCCCACTTTCTCTTTGAGCAAGGGGAGTGACAGAGCAGTCAAATGGAGTTCAGTTGCCCAGCAGGGTAAAACCTCCACACCACTCCCACTGGTGGTGGTGACTCCGCAAAGTGCAAGGGTTGTCCTGTTGATATCCTTGTCGTTATCTTGGTAGATATTTCAAAGTACAACTGGTGCCACACAGTCACGGAGAACCTCATGTACAGGGCTGATTTTAGTTTCTCTATTAACTGAATTGGCAGTTGTCCTGACGGAGGCATGTTTTTCTTCCATAGAGGCACTTACTGGAACAACTCCCTGCTAGCTCGTTACCAGTTATTGGTTCTAGAAAGCCGTTGGCTCATCCTACTGCCTTTGTTTCTCTGCTACAGATAGCATGAGATGCCCAGAGGTGCAGGAAAGTCTGTCCTTTTCTTTCCCTACTAGTGTTTTCTGACTGCTTCAGTGCACTCATGGTGTGGGAACCAAATGTTGAATACAGGCAGCAATTCCCAACACGGTTTCTCAGGTCACTGCAAGACCCGAAATTCTGCCTGGAAAATTAACTTAGACTTGTTACTAGTGTTTTTTCTGTCTCCCTCCTATTGAGTCAGGAGTTACCCATGCTGAGGGATGCACTAGCTTGGGGTTCCCAGACAAACTGACAGAAGGCACAACGCTTTTCCTCCCTTGCTGCCATTCACATTTGCTTGTTTCATTTCTAATTTGTGGAGTATTAGTTATTTTGTTGATTTATTGTCACATTTACATTTAAAGAAATCTCTTGTTTTATGTTTAGTTCTCAAAATATTTATTTGAATGTTATGGATAAAGCTTCATTTTGGGTCTTTTTTGGGATTCCATGGTTTAAATACAATGGATAGTCTTTGAGCACAAGTATTTCGTCCTCTTTATACTTTTCTTCTGTCTATAATAACTTCTCAGGAGACTGAGTTAAAACCCATTTGTTTTAAATCTAAGCTCACCACTAAACTGACTGTACTGAGAGCCAGGATGGCAGGCTGTAATAAAAAACTTGCAGTCCTAGGACCTACTGGGAGAGTGTCTGCATCATCTGGTGTTCTATTACAGGAAGCTGTAAAAAAAAACATTTTATCTGTTAAACGGCAGATGTAAAAGTGGTCAACTACAAATGAATACCTGTGGCGCTAACCTCAAAGTGCTTTTCCAAGGCCAGTGAGCCTGTTCTACCTGAATTGCTGTTTTCGTTTAACCCGGTTGGCAGCTAGACACCACACAGCCATTTGCTCATCCTTCCCCCTCCCTCTCTGGAATGGGGGAGAGAAACGGGAAAGTGAAGCCTGTGAGTTGAGATAAAGACAGTTTATTGAGACAGGAAAATAGTAGTAATAATGGTAATAGTACTACTACTAATAATGTGTATGAAATAAGTGATGCCCAATACAATTCCTCACCACCCACTGACTGATGCTCAGCCTATCCCCGAGCAGCTATCCCCCACCCTCACCCCAGCTAGCCACCTCTATATATTGTTCAGTGTGATATCCTATGGTGTGGAATACCCCTTTGACCAGTTTGGGTCAGCTGTCCTGGGTCTGTCCCCTCCCAGCTCCTGCTGAACCTCCAGCCTGCCCGTTGGCGGGACAGAGTGAGAAGCTGAAAGTCCTTGGCTTGGTGTAAGCAGTGCTTACTTGCTGCCTGTTATGTGGTAGCAGAGCCAGGCGCAGGTCTCAGACCCACTCAGCTCACATCTTTGCAGCAGCACATGGAGAGGCAGCCTTCGTGCCCTGCTCCTGTGCGGGGGGCACATCCTGTGAGTGGGTTTTGGCAGGGGAGGCTGCGGTGCTATTCCATGATTTCCAGGACGTAGCTTGCTGACATTGCGCCAGCTGCCCTGCCTATAACAAGAAGTGAAAGTGAAAATGGAGTTGCCCTTAAAACGAGGGAAAAGCCGTTGGTCTGCCTTATCTCAGGAATCCACACTCCTGGAATCAGAGCTTGATGTCCTGGGCAAAGGAGAAGCTGCTCAGGAGCCACAGCTTCCAGCTCTGGGGCTTGCTGCAGAGGAAGAGGCATTGAAGGCTTCCTTGGACACAAATCACCTTTCAGGTACTTGTACTGAGGTTTTCTTTAGGAGGTCCTGTCTATAGTCTATAGCTGGTCTTTTTTCTTTCAAATACTTAGTGGTTCCTCTTTGTAAGGAGACGTTTAGAAAGAGCCACTAAAAGCGTGACTGTGGTGGAAGGGAAACCTTCAGTGTCTTCTCTGTAGGGGAAAACGTGCCTTACTCTGTCAGTGACCGTGGCAGACAAATAGCACCACACTTTCTTCCCTGCCTGCCAACCTCTGAGCAGCTCTGCACTGCTGTCCCATTGTTGATGCAAGTGCAAAAACATAACAGCTTCATTATTTAGTGCAATTTTATGTAGGTGGGAGCGACTGCAGAAATCACAGAATACATCTGTTACAGTATTTTCATCTCATATGACTCCCAAATAATTTTTCCAACATCCAGTTAAGCATTATTTATTTTTTTCATAATGTCTTCGCATGTTTTTCTAACATCCCCTGACTGTAATGGAAGAACTTTTTAATTCTGGTTTCTAAAGAAGCTTTCTCAGCTCCAGGACCATGTCCTGCTGATTGCTTGCTGGAACTAGTGGCAGCAAACTGCACTTGTAGGCTTGCTCTGGAAATAGCTGTTTTGCCTCTGCCTCTGATTTTGTTTATGTGTTTTCTTTATTGCAAAGACTTGTTGAGAGTGGCAGTCAGCAGATCGAGAAGGTGAAACAGGTACTGTAAGCAATACTGATGTTATCTCTTATGTAAAGTCCACTCCTTTTCCTGGAAAGAACTTAGAGTGTAAAGAAATCCATAGTCACTTGTGAAGTTACTTGATTTTTTTTAGCCTGTTTTGTTGTCACTTTTTTCCTTTCTTCCAACTGCATTCCTCAAACTGTTTGAAACTTAAGTCCTTTACACAGGCTGCTTAGGGTAACACACAAACCTTTTCTGAAAATATACTGTGTTATTCCACCAAGACCGTCCTGCCTGACCATATTAGCCATATACTAAATTGCTCAGAAAGCTGCAAAGCCCCAAGTTATGTGTGGCTGCGTGGAGGAGCGAGGAGGGGCAGGGAAATGCCGTGCTTGCAGCTGGGGGAGAACGGGAACTCCCATGGGCTGGTGACTGTGTGTCAGGATCAATCGGAGGGGGAAGTGCTCCAGAAGCCTGGGGCAGCAGCCCTGATAGCCCCCAGTCCTACAGGGGACTACGGGGACCCCCCCTACAGCTTCATCAAGGGGAAGTCATGCTTAACCAACCTGATAGCTTTTTATGAAGACATAACCAGGTGGATAGATGATGGTAAAGCAACGGATGTGGTCTATCTTGATTTCAGTAAAGCCTTTGACACCATCTCCCACAGCATCTTCGCAGCTAACCTGAGGATGTGTGATCTGAATGATTGGGTAGTGAGATGGACTGTAAACTGGCTGAAGGGAAGAAGCCAGAGGGTTGTGGTCAATGGGATGAAGTTGAGTTAGAGTCCCATATCTAGTGGAGTCCATCATGGGTTGGTACTGGCACCAGTACTATTCAATATATTCATCAACAACTTGGATGAGGGAATGGAGTGCACTGTCAGCAAGTTTGCTGTTGACACTAAACTGGGAGGAGTGGCTGATAAAACAGAAGGCTCTGCTGCCATCCAGTGACACCAGTGAGGCTGGAGAGTTGGGCAGGGAGAAATTTAGTGAAATATAATGAAGGCAAGAGCCCTGCATTTGGGCAAGAACAACTCCAGATAACAATATAAGTTGGAGACTCAGCTGTTGGAGAGCAGCATAGGGGAAAAGGACCTGGTGGTCCTGGGGGACAGCTGGATGACCATGTGCCAGCACTTTGCCCTTGTGGCCATGAAGGCCAATAGCATCCAGGGGAGTATCAGATGGGGTGTGGTTAGTAGGTCGAGAGGGGTTCTCCTCCCCCTCTACTCTGTGTTGGGGAGACCACATCTGGAATATTGTCTCCAGTTCTGGGCCCCTCAGTTCCAGAAGGACAGGGAACTGCTTGAGAGAGTGTAGCGCAGAGGATGAGAAGGGAGTGGACATCTCCCTGAGGAGGAAAGGCTGAGGGAGCTGGGTCTCTTTAGCTTGGAGAAGAGGAGATTGAAGAGGAGATTGAGGAGAATGTTTATAAATATGTTAAGGGTGAGTGTCAGGAGGACAGAGCCAGGCTCTTCTCGGTGACACCCAAAGACAGGACAAAGGGCAATGGGTGGAAGCTGGAACAGAGGAAGTTCTGCTTAAATATGAGATGAAATGTTTTCACAGTGAGGGTGACAGAGCACTGGAACAGGCTGCCCAGGGGGTTGTGGAGTCTCCTCTGGAGAAATTCAAAACCCACCTGGACTCATTCCTGTGTGACATGATCTAGGTGTTCCTGCTTCAACAGGAGGATTAGACTAGATGATCTTTCATTATAGTTTCATTGAAATGATCTAGGATGCTTTTCTGACTAAATCCAAGATATTTATGGGATTTTTTTTTTTTTTTTTTTTTTTTTTGGGGGGGGGGTATTTTTCCTTTGAACAGATATCCCATCAGCTTTTCCAAATTAAAATTCCATTTAACACTAAATATTTCATACTGAGTTAAACAAAACATTCATTCAACACAGAACACCTTTCTTGTCTATTTCTTTGATGTTGTTTTGGAACTGGCAACAAGTGATTTGTTGTATGTATTACTGAGTGATGTGCATAGGGCCACTGCCTTGAGGAGCCTCCATCTGGGATTTCCCCATCTCTGCAGAAAGACCTTGTGGCTGCCAAGGGCCCAGGGCTGGAAGGGGTGCGAGTTCAGCATACGCATGAGGCAGCTCAAGGTGCTGAGCAGTATAAGTGTTTCTCTGCCTGAATTCCAGCTTTCTTAGCTTGAAGCTTCACAGCACTCAGCCTTAAGGCTGTATTCTCTTTGACAAGGGAAAGATAAGAGAAAAGAGGTAATGAATGCTATTTAATGTCTGAATAGGGAGACAAGTGCGGGAGGAGCCCGGTGAGCCTGCCCCAGGATCGTGGAGCATCCAACAGCACCGGAGCCGTGCTCCCAGGTGGACAGATGGGCTCTGCCTGCTTCCCATGGCTGAGCTTGCTGCTTCTCAGTGGCCTCGCTCTGCGGCCAGGTGAGTCTCCTGCTGGAGCTCCTTGCTTTTCACTGCACTTCTGTAGCTAAAAACTTTTCAGCTGTTAATAGAAAGCTCAGTTGTGTCCAGTTGAAGCTAAGAGCACAGAACAACTCGGGTGAGAAAAGGAATTAAGAAGGGGAAGGTGATTCACTTCTCTAACACAACTGCCTGCCTTGGCAGGAATGACTTTTCCTTTGGCTCTGCCTGAAGCCAGGTGGGGTGAGTCCTTTCTTGAAGGACTGGCCCTTTACCAGGAGAGTCTGAAAGAGCAAAACCCCTCTGTCAGCTGTCAGAGCCCAGCCCTGGCATGCTCCAACACCAGACTGAGTCAGTGGTGCTGCATCCAGCTGCAGGCTGACAGCTCGGCTGGCAGCGTGGCCCTGGGATCTCGTATGTGCTGGAGAGGCACCTGGTGGGATTGTGCCAAGGAGTTTTGGGAGAAGACAAGGAGGGATGACTCGTCTGAATGTGCCTGGGCAGGGGGTGTCTCTCAGCTCACTTCCCAAGCCGCCAGCTTCCTAGGTCAAACCCCCATGGCAGCAGTGAGGGAGCTGTATCATATTTCTACTCCAAAAACTATTCCGGGGACTGGACCCAGTCCCTTACAAAACTTCCCCATTGGCAGACAATGCCTCCTAAGCCACAACTGGGTTTGTCCACCAGAACTCATCTCTCCAGAAATCTGGGGAGGAAACCGTTGATTAACAGTTTTCTTTGTTTTCTCCTGTAGGTATTGCTGTGCCAACAGGTGACCCTGCTGAAGGGACAAATGGCTTTTTCTCTGACAAAACAACCGTAATAGTCTACCGCTGTAAAGATTGTGACAGCAAAATTTGCCGATTATCCAGTTATGAGATCTTTGATAAAATTGGAGAAACTAAAAATGGAACATTATCAAATGACATAATTCAGTTGGTGACCACTGAAACTCACATCATTATGTGCTTTCAGCAAGAAATTAAGTATCTTAATGAAGTTTATGCCATCTTCTGGCAGAAAGACTGGGGAATAGGAGAATCCTGTGGCAACCTGGAGCTTGGAGGTAAACTCTGCTGGGAGTCTAGCTATGAATATATAGATAATACTTTTCAGGTCATGAAAGCAAACTGTAATATATTTGGGTGGACAGTGAGATTAATGAGAAAACTAACTTGTCAAAATGAGTGGGTTTTTTATTGTGAAGAAAAGTCTTTACATCATTTACAAAAATAAATGAAGTTCAGGTCCAACTCTGCTTAACACAACACTAGTAGAGATTCAGATAAATTCATGTTAACCTGATTTATAAAGATACTTTTTTATTTTTATTTTTATTTTTTTTCCTTTTTGATGGCAGTTCTAATGATCAAGTTCTGTGTTGGTTTGCAATGTATGAATCCAATCTACTTCAGTCAGTACACACTGAAATCCAGGTTTGGCCTAACAAGCTTTTCTGTGTTGCTATTCTGTATAATTCAGTAAATAATCCCGCCAGTTTTCTCAAAAAACTGTTAGGGTGAGAAATGAAAATGCCAGTCACTACGTGTAGGACATGGCTCCAGGAAGTGCAAAGCTTCATGGTAGATGAGGCTGCACAGGCATAAATGAGTTGAACTCCATCCATGTTGATGGCACATCACCAGTTTATGTCTGGTTGAGTACATTTTTAGTTTTGCTCTCCTGGCTGCAGACAAGTCTCTGAAAAGGGATTTCCTCACCTCCTTTGTGAGACTGAGAGCATTCTTTCTCTTGTCACTGAAGATAAAGGAGAACTTAAAAAAAAAAATCAGCCTGGAAATCGATGTAAAGGTAGACGGCTAAATGCTTTGAGGAGGGTAACAGCTAGGTGTGCTGAGTATGGGATGTGCTGTGGTTTAACCTGACAGGCAGCCTTCCACATACACATACCTGCCTCCCAGTGGGATGTGGGAGAGAATCTGGGGGGATGGGGGGGAATTATGGGTTGAGATAAAGACAGTTTAACAGGACAGAAAAGGAAAAGAAATAATAATAATAGTAATGATAATAGTATTATGTACAAAGAAAGTGATGTACAATGTAATTGCTCATGACCTGCTGAATGATGCCCATCCCATCCCTGAGCAGAGGTGTTCCTCCCCCTCTAAAATTTCATGTTCTTAATTGCATATGAAAACTTTTTGCTGTCTGCAGATTTGAAGACTTTCAATATTGGTTCATAGAAGAGTTCATCAGCTTCAGTGAGAAGAAAATCTGACACCTATTGAACTAAGGATGATTGTAGCAACCTCAGCATTGTGTGGCACACAAGGAATCTAAGTTGTTGAGCTATAAGCATTGGTTAAAGATTTTAAAATGATCCATATTTATATTCAATGCTGCTTTTATCTTTCACCTTCCCTAGAAAATGAGGTGCATCACATCACAGAGGAGGAGAAAATCTGCTGTGCAGTAGAGGCAGAAGAAATCCAACCACATGTGGCTAACCTGAACTGCTTCGTTAAAAGCAAGAGTACAAGCTTAATATACGAGACCCACGATGATATAACTCTAGGTTAGTCTCTTCATGTGTTTGTCTGCCTTTAGCTTTGAGACAGTTTTGCTCAGAGAGCTTGCTGTGAGTAGTTTTACAGGTGTTTTGGGAGGAATGTTCTGTACATTCTTATATTGGACCCACATGTGCTGTAGCATCCAAACTCAGGGGCTTTCCCCCAGCCTCTGCAGGTGCCTGGCCCTAGGCATATTTATCCATATATACCAGTCCTGGATGTAGGCATAAGTGGCTGCAACTGTAGCTATCCAGCAATAGATACAGGGATGCTGAGGGGAAAGTTGGTATGTGGTGGGCGAGCAACAAGATTCCAGAATTCCACTTACTAGTGAATAGTAAATGAGACATTACCTCCGGGCTAAGAGGACACTTGTCATGTGTACGCTTATTAAAGTATTAAAATAACTGCTTATGAGGCAGGCTCATTTCCTGGCATACCTGTTTGATCATTTGGATCCTGTGTTTTCTCCTGCTCTGCAGATAATCCAACAGATCCAGGCAGCGGCAAGACAATTGTCATCACTGTCACTTTCCTGTTTCTTGGGGTTTGTGCAGCAGCACTGGCACTGTATCATGTTCAAAGAATCCTAAGTGGTCAAGGTACAGTCTGACAAAGCATTATGTTTCCCACGTGCCTCTACAAGCAGCCCTGGGAGTGGAAAAGGAAGTGCACAGCGTTTCCTTTCTGTATCTTGTTTCCATAAAATTGTTTAGGAAGTTGCTAAGTGATATTCATTGTGAAGGGGGGAGGCTGGGACAGCACATGGCCTGGACTCCACCTCTGTGTTTGGTGCTGTGACATAGTCCATGGCCAGCAGGCTTTAGTACGAAAAATAAGCTCAAAATAAACTTCCTCACCACCACACTAATGCAGCCAAGTGATCGCACTTGAGAGGCAGTTTTGACTTAGAGAAGAATATATTGTAAATGTTTTTATTGGTGGTGTGGTTTTTTTTGTTTGTTTGTTTGTTTGTTTTTTGCAAAATAATATGCACAGAAAGGGGTGGGATGGGCTGTATGGACTGAATAGGGAGCATAGTGCAGTGTTCTTAAGTGCAGTAGTGTTAAAGCAGCTTTTCAGAAATTGTTGTGCTACAGCAGAGTGCAGAACTTGGGGTGCAGCTGTGCTGTCATGTGGCAAACAAAGCATTATCCCTGCCGAGAGGTACCCCTCTCAGGTTATTTATACATCACACTTGGTGCAGAGTTGTGGAGAAACACAAGGCCTGTGGATCTGTATTAGACAGATAGCAGTTGCTCAGGCATTCTGGATAAATGTAAGTAGGGAAAAACAACTGCAGGTCTATTAGTTTTAAACCTTCTAACCTTCTAAGTAAATCTTTGCTAATGCTGGTACTTTCTTGCTCTTGTTTTCCTAGGACCTGTCGTAGTGCTCTATCAGATTTTTAAAGGTAAGCAATGACTTTTTTTTTTTTGGGGGGGGGGTTAATTATTAAAAATGGTAATATCATTTAGTTACGAGGGCAGGAGGTTGTTCAGCAAAAGGCTAGGTGTGTTTACCAGGACTAAGCCCAGTGGAAGCCCATTTCCATACTGCATCAAGGCTGTGTTAATAGATTTTAATCCCATAGATTTTATAGCCTGAGGCACAGGCTGATGGCTGCAGCAACCAGGGCATGGTTTCAGCAGAGAGACTGTGAACTTGCTGGGTGAAGAAGCTGCAAACTTTCCCCTTTCAGAGCAACAGGCAGTCTGGAAGCAGATGGGGCAGGGCAGCTTCTCTGAGGACTTTACATCTCCAAACCTATCAGGCAATCTGATTTTATTTCACAATGAGATCGATCTGTGCCTTTGCCTCACAGATGTTTTTCCTTCAATTCTGCAGGTGCTATGAAACCCAATCAGGCTTGTGAAAGTGGAAGGTCACAGCCATTTGAAGCATCATCTACAAATGAGACAAAGCAGGCCCTTATGCCAGCAGCATCCTTCTTAAACAAAGTCTAGCCATCACCTGAAGAAACACGTTTATTTTATACCTCACAATAGTTCTCACAAACGTACTTTCACAATTCCCATGCATTCACCGAGGACTGCAATTGCCCTAGTTATCCAACTCCAGGCTTTTGCAAGCAATAAGAAAAGCTTCCAGGGGCTCTTGTCCTCTCCCTGTACTTGTCTGAGAAGCCCCAGCATCACAAGATGCATGGCTTGTTTGGCAGCACAGACTTTTATCAGGCTTTTGAGCAAAGAGCACCAGCATCCAGATTGCAAAAACACATTCCTGAAGCGGAATGGATGCTTGTTGAATTATTTTTTTGCATAGTATAACCAATCATAAACCTATAAATTGGTAGTTTTGTCAGGAAATCTCAAAGGATGTAGGATGTAACATGACTCTATATAGATTAAAAACAATAGCAAAAAAAATAATAATAATACAAAAAGGTATATTAAAAAGTTATGGACATTTTCTTTTTCCCTTGACCTCAAAACTTTGGAAGGTCCTTCAAATGCAAGTAGGAAAGTTCTGTGTTGTTTTGAAACAGTATGATTAGTTCAATGTATGTTTTTCCAGGGCAGCTATCATGGGTGTTGCTATTGGTTTTGTTTTTCTGCTGTAAGTCATTTCTGCGAGAGCCTCTCAGGAAGTGCCAAGCATTCCCATTGATGCATGGAGCTGTGTGCTGGGCTTCAGGAGATTCCAGTGATGCATACCTGATTTTCCTGGACCTAGAAAAAGACTGTCTAAAAATTAAAGGCTGTTGCAGTTCTCTGAAGTGGTCTCTAAATGGGGAAAAACAAATGTGTGTATACATATTAGTGTGTGCATGTTAGGGCGGTCAAACTGATGACTGACACTGCTCTTTTTTTGTGTACCCTCAGATTTTGAGATTTTTGAAACAGAGATAACATGCTATTTGACAATTTATGTTGTAGTAATTCAAGAGATTAAAATTTGAGAGTGTTCAAATTTAATTTCTAATCTTTAACACCAGTTGGGGCCAGAGAGCTAGTCAAGCCTTGGGAATAGAAGTTACCTGCCCAGTTCTGCCCAGTGACAGTTGCTCAGCTAAATCTGTCACAAGATGCAATTCACAAACTGACTTTGGGGTGCACACACTTTCCTTCCCATCTTTTCTGCCTTCCTACTGCTGATTTTGCAGACAGTGATATTCAGAGGTGTCAGTCCCAGCTGTTCTGATTTGTGCCTCCTGAGCTGCATCTTGCCTGTAATGCCAATCATCCGATGTCTTGGGAAAAGGGCTTTAATGATCCTCTTGGCTCTCAGCAAGTGCCTGATGTTGCTTTATGTGCCTGATGTTGCTTTATGTGCCTTTTTACAAATAAATATATCCACACAAATAGTTCTGAAATAAAAATCAACTGAAAATATCAGGTAGCCTGACTCGACAGATGGCATAATTTGATAGTTGCAGTTTCATTTTGATGTGCTTTGTTTTGTGTTCTTGTAGTCACCACAATGCCATGCCAACTTGAACACTGGCTATTCACTGGTAACTCTGCATCGATCATTTTGTTCTTTGGCTTCTTCATGTCCTTTACAAAACATCACCATCACGTGAGTCCCATACTCATTACCCAGCATTATTGGGATGATCCACTTCTTGAGTATTGCAAAATCAAAGCCCAGGAGCAGGAAATCCCTCCTGCCATCTGCTTTTGTATCTAGCAGTGAGTCTTCATAGGGCTAATTGAAAGCCCATTTCACAACCCACCTGAACTCAGTTTTCTTTACAAGGATTGATGACCCTTATCAGCTGTCAGGCAATCATTCCTTCAAGAGAAGCTGTTTGTTGTATCAGGGAGAGAGTAGGGTGTGAGCTATGACTGAGCTTCCCTTTTGCTGGTGGCTTGCAGCTACAGAACATCTCTAAGCGTGAAGCCACGGGAGAGGTACACACTGAACTGCTGCTCTGAAAACACTCACCATCCCATTGCTGGGAGAACACAGGCTCATCATTGGCAAAACACAGGTCAAGCCTGCAAGTTTGTGAGCAGGCTTTGTATATTAATTTAAGGTTTAGCTGAAGTAGCAGTGTATCTTTCTCCCACTTGCCCCTTACAAAGCCAATGCTTCCAATTGCAGCCTGCAGCAGGGCTGGCTGCTGAGCCTGGGGGCATTGACAGTCTGTATCGACTGCAGCTGGTGCTGATGTTTCCACTAACAGCCCCCACAACTGGGGCTTGTTCTGTGGTAGTAAAGTGTGGGCGTTGCCAGTGTGAAGTCAACAACAGAATACACCTCTCTCTAAATCTCTCGCTCCCCTCTCTGTCACAGTCTCTGTGATGTGAAGACAGAAGAAGCAAGTTGCTGGGGAGGGGAAGAGAACTTCAGTTAGAAAGCAGCTGACGTAGCTAGAAGATAACAGCCAGGTTTTGGCACATAAACCTGTCTTCAGCTCATCAGTTGGGTTATTGAGATCAGCTAAAAAGACCTTGGAAAATGCCGCAGACATCACCTCTCCCAGCTGCATCTCTCTTTCTTCTGCTTCTCCGGTTCATCCCTGGCCTGAGTGGTATGTACATACAACACTGCTCCTCTTAAATTTCACAAGTTTCATTATAGACATATATATATATATTTTTTATTTTTTTTCTCCTCCTTAGCTTATCCTCTCAAAGAGGTTCCTGGGTGTTTAACCATTAACAAAAGCAGGTGGTACTCTGAAAAAAGCATTCTCTAACATTTCACAATGCGTTTTCAGAAAAAAGTGAAAGAGTGTTATGCTCTGAAGCTTTCTTTTCTACACACTAATTACTCTCTATAACAATAGTGGAAGTTATTTTCCTAGTAATCCAACATGAATTGTGTACGTATTCTCAAGGCTGACACGGGGAGCTCGTTACTGGATAGAAATGAGTGTTGGTATTTACTAGGCATGTAATTGGTGAAGGTGTAATAAAGCCTTACTAGAAATATCAATTGTATGTTGTAGCTATTGAGAGCACAAGCCAGAGGCACACTTGGGGAAAACCATGAGGCTCTCTGAGGAGGAGAAACTGAGGAAAAAGATGCCTCAAACACCAGATAGCCCTTTTCTCCCCATGATGTCTGGTTTGTTTGTTAATAACCTGGAAGCATGGTGACTTGAGGGGGGAAAAAAAAAAGGAATCCACAAATCAACGTGTTTGAATTGAAGATGCATTGAAACTGGTGCTAATGTTTTAATGTGCTTTTGTCATTTGTTGAGGAGTTGATACTGATTTCTGAAAATATAATTTAACCCTTGTACTTTTTAAAACTCTTGTCTTTTGGAGGAAATGATTAAGTGGTTGTGGCTGCTTGCCATAAAGTGCCTGGGTTCTTAGAACACATAAGTGGGGGTCAGCTTAGAAGTTCTGATTTTTGGTTGATGGGGATCAATTCCCTGGGCTTTCCTTCCCTATTTGTTAAGGCAGAGTGCTTTGCACTTTTCCAGCCTTCTCCATTGCACCATTTATCTGTTGCTGAAAGATAATTGTTGATGACTCCTGGGTTGCTTTAATTTTCTTAATAGTGTAGGATGTAGAATGTCCTCATGTCTGGACAGGTTGGATTGACCTACATTATCTGAATTCCCATGATGCAGTCTTTCTGTGTTTGACTTCTGGGATTTTTCCCTTATTAAAATAAGCTGTTTTAAGTATATAGGGTACCTTACTCTGATTGTGAACACCTGAATATTCAACCCTTCCTATACTGTCTTCTTCCAAGATATCCAATACTCTGTATTTCAATTCTCTTTTTTTGTTTGTAATGTAATTTTTCTTATATTTATTTGATCTGTCCTTTGCTATTCATTCCATAAGTACTTTCTATTCTTTTTTTTTTTTCCTCCAGATATTCAGGTTGTTAGAGAACTCAAAGGGTCTCCTTATGTGTTCTTACACCTTTGTTTCTTAAAATAGGCTGTAACATTATACCTTCTGCAGTTCTCTTCCTAAGAGGCTACATTGTCGAGTTCCCTGATATTGTTAAAGCTTTTTTTCTTTTCTTTGAAATATACAATTTTCTCCTGTTCTGTCATTTTGTCATCCCTTTGAACTCCAGATTTAGATCCTCAGTCAGCTCCAATTATTGGGCTCAGTTCAATGAAGCTGATATTTTAAGAGCTAAGAGGATCATACTGGGAACCTACAGTGCAGACTAAATTTTTTATGTGAGTGACAGAAGCCACTTTTTTCACCAGAAACTTTTGAGCTTTGGGTGTGTTGAATCATGCAAGTTAATGGGGATAAAAGACACTCTAGGGTTTAGGACAGTCAAGAGACTACATACACAGAATATTAAGACTAAGGTTCAGGTTTTCAGAGCTGTTCCACAGACATAAATGATTATATTTGCAACTTACTTTGATATTTATAGAACAAGAAATCTGATATTATCATTTCTATTGCATTTCTTATTTTAAGGTGAAGAAAATGCATTTCTTGAACAGTCAACAGACGTTGTCAGTGTTTGGGAAGGAGACTCCGTCAGCATAACTTGCTCAATGTACAATTCAGAAAATGAACTGGGGATGTACTTGAGGACTAGAGTACAACCAGAAAATGTTTTATATGTTCCCAAGGATAAGAAACCAACTGTTAATAAAGCTTTTGTGGATCGCATCAAGTATTCAAAGGAAGGAGCAAAACTCACAGTAACTCTGCTCAATGTACGGGAATCTGATTCAAATTTCTACCTATGCACCAGGTTTATTATGAGAAATGACCATCATGTCAGGCTGGATGGGAAGACAACCATTGTAGTGGTGAAAGCTCCTGTGGTTCCACCTCTTAAATTAGGAATTAATAAACGTGGAGGTATGTTTGAAATCAAAGATTGGAAGAAAGAATAGTGGGAGGGACAGTCTAAAAGAATTTTACCAATGTCTACTCAGGTGATGTATTGATTTGAAGGAAAGTGTAAGCCTGTTCTGTGAAAAGATGAAGAAGACATCTGAAACATCACTTCATGACTAATTTAATCCTAGCTACTTGCGTAAGACTTTCACATGAGTCAGAAGTGTTATGGCAGCAGGGTGGAAACAGTGAGGGCCCATAGCTGTTTTCAGAACCATCTGCTAAATCTTTATGAAAATGAACCAGCAATGAACCCTGATTTTGGTAGCAGCTTTTGCAAATCTCTTTTGGTTTTGCTATTCCATCTGGAATTATAAACCCAAAATAACTAAGAAGCGGATGCTAGGTAGGGTTTGTGAGTTGAACATCAGTGGATACAGGGATGCATGGTTTTTATCTTTTTAGAAAACAGTTGAATAATGGCCACATTTTCCTCTTGGTAGTCATTTCTGGTTAGGGGAAGAATTTTTCTGTTTTTGCCCTCCCCTCTCCTCCCCCCCCCCCTTTTTTTTTTTTTATTAAATTATAAGAGGGTTGAGTCCACTATAGTCTTTAGCAGCTTATTCCCAGGCATACCTACCCTACTTGTAAGACCATTTCATCTGAACTGTCTTTGCCAAAAATTACAGAGTTTTCTTCCTTTCCAGTTCCCAATGCATTTAAAAACTCTGGGTCAGTAGTATTCCCTTATATCTATAAAGACTTACTATGTTCTTTCTTAGACTTCTCTTTTCAAACTTCTTCACTGTGTTTTTTCAAATGAATTCTGCCTTGTTGATTATATGCTGTTAATCCAAATTACGTTTTTAAATTCTCTTATCTTTTTCTGATGCTGATCCTCTTCTCTGAAATACCTGCAACCTTTCCAGAATTACCTTTTGCACAGAAGCGATAAATTGTCTAATTCTTTTATTCCCTCATCCACATTGTTAATGATAATGTAAAGAGGTACAGGGCATGTCCTTAGAGGAACTCAGTGAAATGTGTTCCACATTGGACAGCAGACCATAAATAACTACCTTGAAGACCATTTTCAACTGTTGATGGTACACACTATGTATGATTTCATCCAGGCCAATGGTACCCAGATGCTTTATAGCTTAATCTCGCTTGAGAAGGCTGTACTCAGTCCTACTTTCAGAACCTGGGGCAGCAAAATATTCCAGGGTGCACTGAGATATATCTCTGTTCTGAAAGCATGTATAAAGGCAGGCTTTAAAATATCATTTTTTTTCTATATTTCTGTGCTAGGTTCTTTCTCTCATTGACCTCTGTATTTGCTCCCTAGTTAAAAAGCAATGTGTTAATTACATGGCAGTCATCAGTTTCTCTTGTTTTTAGCTGGAATTGTTGAACAGTCACCACTCGTTGTCGATATTCAACAAGGCCAGTCTCTCAACATTACCTGTGCATTGAATAGTTCATATAAAGATGAAGAGATCTGCTTGCTCAAGACTCACAAGCAACCTGAAGGAGTGCTATGTGTTTCAAGTCAGAAAGCTCTAGAAATCTTTCCTGTTTTTGCTAATCGCTTGGAGTATTCAAAGGAAGAGAAGAAACTAGTGATAACGTTACACAACCTACAGCAAAGTGACAATGATGTGTATGTGTGTGCTGCAGTGCTGAACAATTCCTTTCTCTTCTCAGTGAGCCAAAGAGGCACCATGGTGATGGTTAAAGGTATTGTGCTTTTGTTTGCTTAATCATAAATAATTATAGGCATGTTATAAAAGAAGACATGGACTAAAAGCTCACAGACCTATAGTCAGGCCAAGTAGAGCTCTAATTCATGACTAAAAATCCTTCAGGACCAGGGAAAGTCTGGGGAGATGCTCACGCTCCTCGGGGTCCTATACAACCAGAGGAGAATTTAAAAATAGAAAACTAGCGATAATCCCACATCTTCACTAAGAAAAAAAAATATAAAATCAATAATATATATTTTTACGTATATATATATATATATATATATATATATATATATATACGTAAAAATATATATTATTGATTTTATTTATTTATATATATATAAGTAAAATAATATAATAAGTATATAAGTAAACATATAATATATTATATCATAATATTATATAGTGTATAGTATACTATATAATTTATGATATAATGTAATGGTATAACATTATATATTATATATTTACTATTATTTATAATATATAATATAAATATGTAAGTATATAAGTAAAATAATAGTAAATAATATAATAGTAAAATAATATATAAAATAATATTAATATATAATAAAAATAATTATATAGATATAAATTATAGTATTATAATAATATTATAATCAATAATATGATATAAGTAAAATAATATATATAAGTAAATTGAGCCTAAAAATAGGTCATACTAAGAAACACAGAACAAGTCCTTGGGCATTTTCTTTAAGTACCGAAGATAACAGCGATGATCTCACACATCCTTATTATACACTGAGCACACTGTGAGCATATTGTACTGGGACTTCATTTTCATGAGAGTTAGTTATAGCCATTTTTTAAGATGAATCCACAATGGTACTTGATTTTGACGTTACTGGTGCAAAAACTGTGCATTGACAGTTTTGATGGGATCTTTGAGCAAATAAACTAAGGTTTACATAGGTGCTAGGAGCTGCAAAAGATCTATTTACAAATTGGTCTGCAAAAAAAGACTGGTCTCATGCTATGCTGCTGGCTATAACATGTGCAACAACTCAGTAGCGTGAGTTGGGGAAAATGACAGCTGCACATCAAAGCAGTGGGGTGATAACTAGATAGAATGTTATTTAAATTGAGATTTTAGAGAACTGTAACCCTTTCTACCAGCACTGTTCTATTCATTGTAGAATATTTTTTTTAATTGTCTGTACTGCTTGCACCCTCCCAACCCTAGTTGTTGTTTAATTCTTATGTACTCCTGGTGGAGCCCTCAATGGTGATATAACAGTGCAGTAAACTTTTTTTTTTCCCTTTGTGAGTGTGTGGTTTTGCTTCTGAGCTGTGGTACAGAAGCTGTCACCTTTGTAGAATGCTCCTCCCTGACCCTTCATTTGCCACTGACAGTTGTCACCTGCCTCCAAGAGAGCAGAGGCGATGCCAGCTAGAATACTAATGGCATGACTAACGTGGCTGTGGAGCATGCTGTTCACATTTGATTTCCTGCTGACCAGAGCCCCACACATACCTAAATATTTTTTCCATAATAAAAATATAATTCTACCTCTCTTCATATTATTAATAATAATATAACTCCACATGCAGGAGGGGAGGAGACAGCATTCACTAATAGTTCCTGGGCCTACTATGGTCTTATCATCATGGCAGTGCTGCTGCTTTCTGTGCTGATGTGCTACGCCCTGTACCGTGTCCATGTAAGTATGCTGTTACAGTCCCAAAGGAAAAATGAATCCATGTTAACTGAATAGGTGCCTTTTCAGTCACAGCCAAAGGTATTATTTGTAAATAGTGATTGAGTCAAGCAAACGCTCGATAAACCTAGAGAATCATGGCTTTGTATTGTCTACTCTTTGCTCTTGTTTAATGTCCACTAGATGTAAACTTTCAGAAGTAAAGACTGTTTTATGTTTTTGTAGCTCTTAGTAAATCATGAGACATTCTTTGCCTTTCAATATGGAAGCTCAAGTAATCCCTGCAGTCAACAATGCAGCCATGCATTGTATCTGTTTCCCTGAACAAGGCAACTCACTATTCTGTTTTGCTTCTTTTTTACTTATTTGTTGTCAGTCAAGAATGGAGACGTGTGTGTATGTATGTGTGTATATATATATATATATACACACATGTACACATATTATACTAGAGTGTTTTGGGGGAAATCTGGTACAACACAATGTCATTAAATATCCCTGTGTGTGGAAGTATCTCTGGGAGAATGTTTTTGACCTGTCCTAGAAAAAAAAAAAAGGGTGATCAAGAAACTTTTCATTTATAGGGATTTTTTGGATCCATTTTCTATAGAAAGCATGTTTTGTTTTGTTTTTTTCCTCCCCACTTTGATAGATCCTCACAGTCCAAAACAATTACTCAAAACAACATAGTAGGATTCACAGGCCAGACCCTTATCCTGTACCTCCCCTTTTAGCTTCAGTACTGCTAAAGCCAGTGGTATAATATCACCCTGGCAAAGACAAGTGACCCTGTGGGAACTGGTCTCATATGTCTCTGGTAACAAACTACAGTTTAAGGCTCAGCATTATTTATGTAGGGGCTGCAGTTGCATACAAATCTTGAAGGAACTTTTAGTGGAATTGCATCAGACTGACAACACAGATTGAAATGACTAGGTCATAAATTTCAACCTAAATCTGTAAGACCTCATTGTGTTATGAGAGAAATCTTAGCAGCTGGACTCCTAAGATGTAAATTGGCAACTTGGTCGGGGTCTTTTCAAGCTTTGTTCTGAATGGTTGTTTGCTTTCTTTTGCAGATGAAGAAATATTTCCAGAAAAGAAAAACAAATGCAGTGTATGAAGATATGTCTTACAGTTCTAGACGCAACACTTTTGTCAAACCTAACGTTTACAACGATTGCACTTAAGCTGGGACCATGCTGGATCAACTGTCCTCTTCCAGGTGCCTCTGAGAGCTGCGTTGGCAACTCGATGTAGTAGCTGAACTGAAAACGCTATCGTATACCTTCTTTAGTTGCAGGAAAAATCTGCCTTATTTCCAAAGCTGTTTTTACTTATTTTTATCACTCGTGAAATACCTTTTACTTTTCCTTGTACAGAAAATGCATGTACCCTGCACATGTGTTTGCAGTGTAGAGTGGAAAGCAGTATTTTTGGAGTGTACGTTTGGCTAGATGCAATATATGGGATTGTTTCTGTGATGATAGATAACCCTTTCAGGGAAGGTGAGATAGTTTGAGAGGTCTCATTTTGCGCTTTCATAAGTGCTCAGAAAGACCATAACAGGCTTGTTTAATAATTTGCAGTGTATCCATGTATGAATGAAGTACAGTTTTCGAAAGAATCTGTGTGGGGTCTACCCAAAAGCTCTGGTAGCTAAAACTACTCATGAGTTAAAGCAACATTTATTTTTTTTCTGAATAGAATTCAGAAACTTTGTGACAAGAATGCATTAGAAGTGAGGTGCTAGATATGTGTGGGTTTAACTATTCAAAGATCAGAATGGTCCCACAAAAATGCAATCAAGTGTAGATATTAAATTATTAACCTTGCTGTGCCAAGCCTGCTGCTCAGGAGAGGTCATTTCCCTTCAAATGACAGTTGTGAAATCCTGTTTACCAGACTTGAGGAGGAAATCTGCTCACCCAAATGGCTGGATTTCCCTTGTAGCAGAGGGGCGTCTGTTGACTGCAGAACCTGCAATCATTGCATAGCTCTACATGAATAAACCAATACAATCTGATTGTGGAAACTGATCGTGGTCTGAGCCTGAGGGTTTTATACAGTTGCTTGCTACTTTTGTACATGTATTAAAGACTTTTTTATGTCTCTTGCAATTGAGTGCTAGTTATTGAATGGACTGGTTCATGTAGATTTTATAATAGAGTGAAATTAAGTCTTTTTGCAAAATGCACCTAGCAATACCTCAAAGGATATGATAATCATTTGCCACTTTTTTTTTACACAACCTATATCTTTTTTTTTTTCTTTTGAAAAATCACTGAATCACTAATCACTGAAAAAAATATTAAAGAACAATCTGGATGATGTATACTCCTGCAATCCTTTCATGGTGGCTAAGAAAAAACTCCTGAAGAGCTAAAAACTTCAAATGGTGATGGGGAGGAAACAGATGGCACTGGGGAAGCTTGGCCCCTCCTTTGGACAGCCCCCTGCACCCTGTCACAATGGCTGAGGGTCACAGGGTCAGCTAAATCTAGAGGAGATAGCCGTGCCACTTTGGGCTCTGTCTAATGTTTGCCTCGTGTATTCACCTGCCTTCCCACAGGAGTGCTGAAGGAGATTTCAGAGGGAAACGGGCAAGCTTTGGGAATAAATCTGCTGTCACCCTTCCCACAGTTAGCAGCTAACACAGGTGCCCGTTTTGTGAGCTGTTGATGGCTGTGGATGGGGGTAATGTGATGGCTGCTGACACTATGCTCAAGCCCGGTGGGCACAGCTGTGGGATCCCATGGCCGGGCAAGCACGGCCCCATCTGGGTCCCATGTTCCCCTTGTGAGGTCCGGTGTCCCTCTGTCCCCAGCCCAGGCCCTGTCTCCTGCCCTGCAACAGGCCCCATTACCCCAGCAAGGGGTATCCCTGTGGCCTGCTGACTGCGTGGGGCCTTGGCCTGGGGATGGCTGGAAGAAGGCACTGGGGAGTTGGACCAAGGTAGAGCCCCAAGGAACCGTGCAGCCACTTGTCTGGGGACCTCAGCACCCTCTTCTCCATGCACCAGAGCTGCTTGCGGTTGTCACTCAGAGAGGATGGGGTTCCTCCATTTCCGCCTTTGTCCCTGATAAGCCCAGCTCAGGCACGGATGCAGATGATGCGTCAGATCTGGGAGCTAAAGCACCTATGCTCAGTCATGTTTTGTCACAAGCTCTGCTACCTGATTTAGGCTGCTTCCTCCCACTGACAGTCATGCCAGTGAAAAGCCTGAAGACATCAGTGGGTCTTGTCCCTAAGGCCTCCTCTACCTGTGTCACACACGTGAAATGGGATTTAACAGGGTTCTGCTAAAGGGGATCTCATTGAAACCAAGCACACATCTGCCTGGGAAGGAAAATAGCACCTCACCTCCCAGGGTTTTAAACTGATCTTTGCCTTGTGCAAATAAAAGGCTTCATCTTTGCAAAAGAAGTGGTGGTATAGTATTAAAGAGCTACACTCACAGAGAAACGCTGCATGAAGTTCAAATAAACAAACTGGCATTTAACATTAGCTTTCTGTAGCAAGGCTGCTGTGCAAGCATGACCACAATTGTGGAAAAAAACGAGCTGTGAAAGAAAACAGTAGTGGAGGTGGTTTCTTTGGTTTAGCATACATAAAAATAAGTATAGCCTAGCTGAAGGAAATGACATATAGTGAGACATTTTGTGAGTTGTACCGGTGTAGAGGTGTAGAGCAACAAATCCTCCCAAATTAACTCAAGCGGCAGTGAATTAACAGCTTGGAGAGGGCTGCCAGGGAAATAAGTTTACAGCAGCAGTCACAGGAAAGGGCTGGGTATTTGGCTGTTAGAGGGTAGTGGGAGGTGCTAAGATGCAGCGTGGTCTCAGAGCTTCCCTGGTAGGCAGACAAAGTCAATTTTTCATCTCCAGAGTGGACAGCAGAAATACACTGGGGTTGTCTTGTTGCCTCTGCTGTTGTTCATTCTCTTGCCTCTGCACTGGAGAGGGACAAGGGGAAAAGTAAATGTACTATAGGGCTCTGAGACTGTGTCAGTAGCCACCACAGTGAGAATGGTATCAGATTATTAGTGTGGGCCCCTGCCCCATTTAAAGGGCTAAATGACAGAAAATGCAACTAGGAGCAAAGCATCTTCAGATGGCAAAGCAGCAGCTCTTGTTTCAGAGTTTACCAAAGAGATGAAGAAAGCAGAGGCAGCTAAGTGAGGACAATACATGAGAAGCAGAAAAGACATGACAGGGAAGGTACGGCCATGCCAGAAGTGACTCAGGGTGCTGCATCAATCAGTATGGAGGGCCCAGGGATGAGCTCTTGGGAATGGGAAAGCTCATCAGGAATAATCTTTGGTTATTCACAAAACTGGAGAGAGCAGCCAGCACGTATAAATTACTGCTGATGAAGTTCATAGATTGATTTAAGCAAGAAAGTGTTTTTACCCTTTGACTAAGGCTAATCTGACAAGTTCACGCTTGAAATCAGATGCCAAGGAACAGCACAAGGAGCTTGTTACACAGAATGACTGACGTGTGATAGAGAAAAGAGTTGACTGTCCATGTGGCAGAGTCCTGGAGTCCTGCTCCCTGCTGGGAGTTGATGAAGTGCCTGCCACTTCCCGGCAGCCTCATGGACAAGCAAAGGCTAGCAGAGTGCTGCTGTGACAGCGCTGAGCAGAATGAGGGGTTGGAATCTGTCCAGAATGGTGGGACATGGAGTTGAGCCACAAAACATTTTCCAGGCCTGTATATGGGGTGGTAGTAGGTTCTCTTGTTGTGCATTGTGCTATATTGTAGCACACGGGACTATTTCCAACAATCTGCAAGCAAATGCTCGTATGCTGCTAGCAGTTTTAGATGCTACGTGCCATATTTCTGAAGTCTACACTGGTAGAGTGGTCTGGAGTTAGTTTCTTCTACCCATTTATCACTGGTTGCTGCTTGTGATCATTTTCCATCCAATAACTTTCTGTTGGTATTTGAAGCATATACCCAGCATTACTGCTGACTGATTATATCACGAGGTCTCTGTTAGTGACAAAATATTTCCATTCATGGCATACAGTCTTTTGTAAGCACTTGTCTTTCAAGGCATTTAAGTTTATCTTTGAATGTTTGGTAACACTCAGCTAGCAGTCAGCTTACAGTCAAGTTGAAAACTTGTAGTTATTTCTGGTAGCTCACAGATTTGGTTTTCACACGGTTTAGAGCTCTGAAAATGCATTCTTGGTGTCGTTTTGTTTTGTATGCTTGTTTGTTTACCTGACATTATTGGTTAATATGCTTCTACTCTAACTAAAGAATTCTTTGACTGCTTGACATCTAATTTTAACAGTATTTCTGTTGCCATACATGTGTTGTTTTTTTTTAACACTGCTTTGAATGCTCCAGTAATGCCTGAGTAGTGGCTATGTGAAGCATGCAAGGAATCTCCCAGATTCCACTCAAAATCTCAACAGGTTTTAATTATCTGGCAGCTTAAGTATTCTACCTTCTCTAGAATATCCCCACGTGGATAAGTGGCTTAATATTAGAAGCTCATAATTTTTTATTCAATAAAGTGAAATACAGCAACTCACCTAAATCTTAATCAGATTGAACAAAACACTTTTCCTAACATGTATTGTTAGGAAATTGCTGGTGTATTTTTGAAATTCTCCCCAGGTATCAAGTCCTGAGAGAAGATATTCACCCGAGTTATTAGAAATCGTCTACTATTCTCTAGAATTTCTGACCATAGTGAGAATAACATCTAAGCATTGCGGATGCCAAGTAGAAGATGCTCTCATTTTTTTTCTGTGAATTAGTAACTGTAATTAGTAAACCACTGGGAAAGAAAGCCTTGAAGTTCATTTCTCCCTGCAGTTCATGCCACCCTGAGACATCTGGTCTGTCTCCTCTTAACACAATGGAATAGGTAAGGAAAGATACCTTAATTAGATCATAGAATCGTAGAATATCCTGAGTTGGAAGGGACCCTGAAGGGTGTCTGGCTGAGATTCTGGGGTGCAGGAGCCAGTATTTCATCCACAAATCTGTTAAGACATATTTCTAAATTATGCAGCCCTTTTCCATATGAGGCATAAAAGCTTATGCTGGGGCTACTTGTACAGATAATACAATGGGAGTAATAATTTCATCCACAGATGACATAATTTATAACTCTGTTGTGACAGAAGAAATAGCTTTGTTGGGGGGAGAGGAGGAGGTTCTCTTTCCTTACACATAGCACCTTGCAGCTCTCAGACAAGTCCTATAAGAAACCACAAAGGGCAGTTCTCATGGTTTGCATTTGCATCGCTATCTTCACTCAGAGGCATAGCTGACAGCAAGACCGCAGATAAATGGCATATAAAGTAGACAGCTATGTTCTCAACCAATTTTTAAGGCTGGATGGTGAGCTCACATTACACCCAAATGGCCATGACTTCTAGGAAAGAGACTTACTAAGAAACACTGTGTAACATCTCTGTGGATTTCTCTGCTACTCTAATTCTCATATGATATAACACTCACAGTGCAGATTCTTGTAGAGAGTCTCCTAAAGTGGACACAGCCATTGACCAAACTCTAACAGCTTTTGGACTCAAAACCCTTAAAAAAGGTAAACAACTCAAGGTTTTGAAAAAAGTCATTAGCAAGAAGCTATGCATGTATGTGTATACACACCAGAGGCAAAGAAACTACAGCTCCTAACGGCTGTCAGGACTAAAATTAAGAACAGGCCGTCTGCAGAGAGCTGTATGTTCCTCCCTTGCAGAAGCTGTTTTGGAAATTAAGGTGTTGCATGCAGAAACAGACAACTATATTTCTTTCTTAGCCAAAAGAGGATATAGAGGAGAATTTCCAGGTTTTCAGCTCAGAGAAGCTTGAATGAACAGTTCAAACTGAGGGTTTGCACCTTTTAGACTTGTTCAGAATTAGGCAAACTAGGAGGGAGCCATCCTTGAAAGCGTCATTTTTCAAAATGTTCTTATCTCTGTTGTCCTGGCTCTTTTGCTGGTAAATCTCACCATTGTGGTCATGGTGAGTTACCAAATAAGCTACTTCATGTGGCTGTAGGCAGAGATGGGCTGTTCTCTCAATGCTACTTATTCAATGGCAATCTCTAACACTTGGACCTGAGGGCACCACTCTGATGGAACAAAAAGAGAG